TTATAATATTTGACTTCGTTTTTTATTATTTGTACATTGTAATGATCCAACTTATATTAATTTATACATTTATTTACCATTTATTTATACTTAATGCGTTGCGTTATACGTCAATAGGTTAATTTAGACGATCGAAAAAGACTTAGTGAGGTTGAAACTATATATTTAAAATAATAAATAATTAAATATAGATTTAATGATTGCTCGTCTTTAGCCTGTCTTTTAATTAATTATATTATGTTTACAATAACGAGCTATATTCATCATTAACTTTTTTAGGATATTCTTTGTATGTGAAAATTTTCAAATATTCATAACTTTTAAGATTTTTTATTCTACAATTTTTGAAAAGAATTTAAATATCTGACAAATTTAAAAGTTTTTTATAAATGTTTTTAAACGTAACAAATTGTCAAAAATATGAGATACGAATATTTTTTTTACCTTAGTAAGTTAAATAATAATTCAATAACAATAGTAATGCTTCGTAATATGTTCTAACTGGATTGATTTAGTTTTGTCGGTAAAACTGTACAATATAAATAAAATGCTCTAAATTAAATATTTTTGTTTAAAATATCTGTTACGAAAATCATGCATTTAATCATGGCATCGCTTATCGTGCGATAAAGATGTACATCCGTATTATTCAAGCAATATGTTTTACCTAATCGATAGACGCTCCGTAATCATCAGATTACTTTCGCGGATATTTAATCAGAGTATTGTTTTTTCCGTTTCCTCTATAAGAATAAATGTGATAAACATCAGCGTTATCGGTCGTTGATGGTATAAATATTGCATACCGCTGATCGTGATTGAAGCAAATGACAATAATTGTAATAACCAATCGCATTTTAGTGTATCTAGCGTACTTTGAAAAATAAACAAAACCTGTACAATCGCACAGAAAACCGGTATTATGATCGTATTAAACATACTGCTGGTCCTCGGTCCACCCTCTTGTCAACGGGGTGGGTTTTCGTGGATTTACTTTTCATGGTTTGGAGGAGCCAGAACCGTTAACAAAATATGCGGGCAACAATATAGTTGACGGTTAGATCACTCAGCCTCTCAATCATTTCAATCATCGACGACAATCGCACCTGGTCGGTGGTAATTATTGTCATCACTTCATCAGAGCTTGTTCTACTTAAAACACATAGTTTTTTTTATATGACTTAACAATGGTCGATTGCTGTGTAGCATTACAAGGAAAATTCCGCGTTTCTGAAAAAAGATGGGCCTATTCTGATTATGATCGGCACAAAATGGGAGATAACAAATAGATTTTTGGAAGGTGGACTAATGTATGAAATCGGCGTAGAATACGGCGGTTTGATCTATTACACCGAGCATCGATTCTACGGACAGAGCAAGCCAACAAAGTGCATAATCCGTAATATTTATTTATATAATTGACCGAAATTTAGCCAACTTTTTAATTCATTTTTATCACGATATTTCAGAGACATTAGCACGGAGAACTTGCAGTACTTGAATGCCGATCAGGCGCTGGCCGATCTTGCTTATTTCATAGAAACGAAGAAAAAGGATAAAAATTTAGAAAAGAGTACCGTAATAGTAGTCGGTGATTCTTACGCTGGAAACATGGCGGCATGGGCGCGCCTCAAATATCCTCACCTCATCCAAGTATCGTTTGCATTATTGTTTTATTTATATATTTTTATATTTTAAAAATAAAAAATTAATAAAATAGAGGAAAATATTTTTTATAGGGCGCTTTAGCTAGCAGCGCTCCGGTTCAGGCAAAAGCTGATTTTTACGGTAAATTATTTTGCTCGATAGATGATAGTAGCCTTAATAATCCCCAAGATATCCCCTAAGAATGCTTGATTTTGTAGAATACTATGAGGTCGTAACGAAATCACTCAGCAGACAGTGAAATATGCGTTGAGAGCGTCAAAACTGCATTTACGTCGGTAGAGGAATTACTGGCCACACAAGGCTGTCCAGATAAACTTCAAGTAAGTTTAAAAGTAACTTGGAATTTACAAGCAATTTGTTAACACTTTGTCGCGATCGTGCAATAAAACAAATAGGAAAGATGTATAGATAAACCAATTTATAATAGAAATAATAATTTTTCATTGTTACTAATTTCTTTTATTACTATAGTACCGAATTTAGCTTGTGTCACGTGCCTGACATAAAGTCTTCAAGTGATCTCGGTTATTTGATAAATACGCTGGCAGAGATATGTATACATACATGAGTTGACGTGCCTCATTTGTTTCATTATTCATTTTTATACGAACCTTAGGTATTCGCCGGAATTGTTCGACATGACAAAATCGAGAATGGTCAAACAAAAATCGCTGCGCTTTGCGATAAAATGACAACGGCACATTTAGGCAGTCCTCTGCAGAGACTCGCGCACGTCTTCTAGAATCAGGACACGTGTGTTGACGTAAATTATAACCTTGAAAAAAAACCTGTATCCAAATTAAATATAAT